GATTATAACATTAAACACATGAATGCTATCTGCCAGAAAAGAAGGATGTATTCAAGAAGAAACGTTTTTTATCCGGGTTAAGGTTATTTAGATTATAACATTAAACACATGAATGCTATCTGCCAGAAAAGAAGGATGTATTCAAGAAGAAACGTTTTTATCCGGGTTAAGGTTATTTAGATTATAACATTAAACACATGAATGCTATCTGCCAGAAAAGAAGGATGTATTCAAGAAGAAACGTTATTTATCCGGGTTAAGGTTATTTAGATTATAACATTAAACACATGAATGCTATCTGCCAGAAAAGAAGGATGTATTCAAGAAGAAACGTTATTTATCCGGGTTAAGGTTATTTAGATTATAACATTAAACACATGAATGCTATCTGCCAAAAAAAGAAGGATGTATTTATCAAGGAGAAACGTTATTTATCCGGGTTAAGGTTATTTAGATTATAACATTAAACACATGAATGCTATCTGCCAGAAAAGAAGGATGTATTCAAGAAGAACGTTATTATATTATCCGGGTTTTAAGGTTATTTAGATTATAACATTAAACACATGAATGCTATCTGCCAAAAAAGAAGGATGTATTCAAGAAGAAACGTTATTTATCCGGGTTAAGGTTATTTAGATTATAACATTAAACACATGAATGCTATCTGCCAAAAAAGAAGGATGTATTCAAGAAGAAACGTTATTTATCCGGGTTAAGGTTATTTAGATTATAACATTAAACACATGAATGCTATCTGCCAGAAAAAGAAGGATGTATTCAAGAAGAAACGTTATTTATCCAGGTTAAGGTTATTTAGATTATAACATTAAACACATGAATGCTATCTGCCAGAAAAGAAGGATGTATTCAAGAAGAAACGTTATTTATCCGGGTTAAGGTTATTTAGATTATAACATTAAACACATGAATGCTATCTGCCAGGGAAAAGAAGGATGTATTCAAGGAGAAACGTTATTTATCCGGGTTAAGGTTATTTAGATTATAACATTAAACACATGAATGCTATCTGCCAGAAAAGAAGGATGTATTCAAGAAGAAACGTTATTTATCCGGGTTAAGGTTTATTTAGATTATAACATTAAAACACATGAATGCTATCTGCCAGAAAAGAAGGATGTATTCAAGGAGAAACGTTATTTATTATCCGGGTTAAGGTTATTTAGATTATAACATTAAACACATGAATGCTATCTGCCAGAAAAGAAGGATGTATTCAAGAAGAAACGTTATTTATCCAGGTTAAGGTTATTTAGATTATAACATTAAACACATGAATGCTATCTGCCAGAAAGAAGGATGTATTCAAGAAGAAACGTTATTTATCCAGGGTTAAGGTTATTTAGATTATAACATTAAACACATGAATGCTATCTGCCAGAAAAGAAGGATGTATTCAAGAAGAAAACGTTATTTATCCGGGTTAAGGTTATTTAGATTATAACATTAAACACATGAAAACTATCTGCCAGAAAAGAAGGATGTATTCAAAGAAGAACGTTATTTATCCGGGTTAAGGTTATTTAGATTATAACATTAAACACATGAATGCTATCTGCCAAAAAAGAAGGATGTATTCAAGAAGAAACGTTGTTTATATCCGGGTTAAGGTTATTTAGATTATAACATTAAACACATGAATGCTATCTGCCAAGAAAAGAAGGATGTATTCAAGAAGAAACGTTATTTATCCGGGTTAAGGTTATTTAGATTATAACATTAAACACATGAATGCTATCTGCCAGAAAAGAAGGATGTATTCAAGGAGAAACGTTATTTATCCGGGTTAAGGTTATTTAGATTATAACATTAAACACATGAATGCTATCTGCCAGAAAAGAAGGATGTATTCAAGAAGAAACGTTATTTATCCGGGTTAAGGTTATTTAGATTATAACATTAAACACATGAATGCTATCTGCCAGAAAAGAAGGATGTATTCAAGAAGAAACGTTATTTATCCGGGTTAAGGTTATTTAGATTATAACATTAAACACATGAATGCTATCTGCCAGAAAAGAAGGATGTATTCAAGAAGAAACGTTTTCTATCCGGGTTAAGGTTATTTAGATTATAACATTAAACACATGAATGCTATCTGCCAGAAAAGAAGGATGTATTCAAGAAGAAACGTTTTTATCCGGGTTAAGGTTATTTAGATTATAACATTAAACACATGAATGCTATCTGCCAGAAAAGAAGGATGTATTCAAGAAGAAACGTTATTTATCCGGGTTAAGGTTATTTAGATTATAACATTAAACACATGAATGCTATCTGCCAGAAAAGAAGGATGTATTCAAGAAGAAACGTTATTATCCGGGTTGTTAAGGTTATTTAGATTTAAACATTAAACACATAAATGCTATCTGCCAAAAAAGAAGGATGTATTCAAGAAGAAACGTTATTTATCCGGGTTAAGGTTATTTAGATTATAACATTAAACACATGAATGCTATCTGCCAGAAAAGAAGGATGTATTCAAGAAGAAACGTTATTTATCCGGGTTAAGGTTATTTAGATTATAACATTAAAACACATGAATGCTATCTGCCAGAAAAGAAGGATGTATTCAAGAAGAAACGTTATTTATCCGGGTTAAGGTTATTTAGATTATAACATTAAACACATGAATGCTATCTGCCAGAAAAGAAGGATGTAAGACAAGAAGAAACGTATTTATATCCAGGTTAAGGTTATTTAGATTATAACATTAACACATGAATGCTATCTGCCAAAAAAAGGGATGTATTCAAGAAGAAACGTTATTTATCCGGGTTAAGTTTTTTAGATTATAACATTAAACACATGAATGCTATTGCCAAAAAGAAGGATGTATTCAAGAAGAAACGTTATTTATCCGGGTTAAGTTTTTTAGATTATAACATTAAACACATGAATGCTATCTGCCAGAAAAGAAGGATGTATTCAAGAAGAAACGTTATTTATCCGGGTTAAGGTTATTTAGATTATAACATTAAACACATGAATGCTATCTGCCAGAAAAGAAGGATGTATTCAAGAAGAAACGTTATTTATCCGGGTTAAGGTTATTTAGATTATAACATTAAACACATGAATGCTATCTGCCAGAAAAGAAGGATGTATTCAAGAAGAAACGTTATTTATCCGGGTAAGGTTATTTAGATTATAACATTAAACACATGAATGCTATCTGCCAGAAAAGAAGGATGTATTCAAGGAGAAATGTTTTGGCAAAAACTGGCTCGTGTTTACGTACATATGGGAAAATCACGTAAACTGCATTGCAGTGGCCCTGACGAAGATTTTATGAAGCACAGAAGTCTGTAAAGTTTTAAACTGTAATTAAATAAAATTTTATGTTCCGTCTTACATGTACTGTGTTGAGGTACAGAAAAACAAAAATAAACATTTTTAATTCACAGGTTTTAAATCTTTTCTAAATTATAATGTTTGCCTTGTCTACCTTAAAGTTTTTTAGTTTCAAAGTTTGTGTAATACTGTGTGCAATATTTTATACAGTACTGCTGATATAATACAAAAATTAAATTTTGTGGAGGCGTAAAATCAATTTAAGTCATATGTTAATTAAAAGATTAAATGTATGCTGTTAATTATAAAATTTTAATTTCTGAAACTAATGCTTTTAGTTATTTTATAAAGAGAAATGGTTTATTGATTAAAATGTATTTCAATTAAAGTCTTATTGTTTTAATTGAAATACTTTTTGAAACCAAAATGATATTTAAATCTTCATTAGAAAAAAAAAACAAATCTGTTCTGAAAATTGAGTTTTTAATTATCCATGACAGAAATCAGTTTAAAAATTTAAAAAAGGTAAAAGAATTATATTGAAAAATTAAAACTTTATTTATTCTTTTTGATCTCGAAAGAAAACTGAAAATTTTATGATCTTTTAATCACTCAAATGTTTCTGTAACATGTTTTGCAGAAAATAAAATCTACGAACTTGTTTAAAAATCTTTAGAATTATGCATCACTTTTTTATAAACTGAATCTGATATTTTCAGTAGAATTCTCTTAATTGTTACTGTACATATTATGTAAGATTCTATGTATCGGAACCTTTAGAAATTCTGCAAAATTTTTTATAGTATATCTGCACATATCGCTGTACAATATCTATGCGTAACTTGAAAGAAGACCGATTATTCACTTTTTTTTTTTCCCTCACGCAATGCTTTTTCTGTTGCCAGAAGATCATTACCCCCTCCCTACCTTTTAAAATTAAAAAAATTCATAGATATATTTATTTAAATTTAGATGGTGTTTTAACATGCTTTATTAAATAAATAGCAAAAATTACAAAATGTGTCAATGAATACCAAAATGTAAATAAATTTTTTTATATTCATAAACTAAAACTAAATACTCAACAGCTAAATAGATAACTGACTGCATTTCCCCCCCCCCGAAACCAAGAAACCTAACGATAGAGAAGCTATATCTAAAATTTTATAGAATTCTGTAAAAGATCTCTGACCTAGTTTACAGAAAATCGGGCTACAATTCTAAAAGTTCCTTAATATTTCTGTAAACATTAGTAGCTTAATTGTGGAATTACTTTTACAGAATTCGGTAAAACTCTTTTCTGAGAACAGCTCGTTCGTGGGGATTTGACCAGGGTGGAGCTCATTGTTATCCTAGACATTAAATTGCGTACAAAATGAGGATTTAATAGAATATTTAGTCTCATGGTCATTTTTTTATTTGACCTTTATTTATCTCGGGAATTATTTGCTGAGGGTCGAAATCAATTTGCAGTGAACCTTCATTCCAATTTCATTTTAATATTTATCAAAAATGCGTAAATTTTTCTTAACATGAGTCAATAAGTATAGATGGATTTCAAAAGCAATTTTGGGTTTAAGTATTTTAAAACTAAGCTTGGGATAAAGGCAGATTGATTAATAAGAATGTTTGTATTTATTTAAAATAGAACTGATGAATGACTATTTTATATCTGTAAAACATACCTGCAGAAGCTTTCGCAATGGACACCAAAACCAGAAAAATGAAGACCTTCATGTTATCGGTACGTGTGGGTGTTCACACCTATCCACAATTCCAAACAACGTTTCCATATTTTTATACCGATATTTTATCTCCAAATATATGATATGGGAATGAAACCTGCTGTTAGTTTTTCCGTTTGAAATATCAAAATATCACATCTCAGGTAAAGGAGTAAATTTTCGATAGAATTTAGGAGAAAAATTTGATATAATGATATCATTTCTTTTACTTCATTTACATTTAGACACTAACAGATACTTGCCGATAAAAAAAAATTGCTTTGAAATATCACACGCAGCAAAAGAAGATTATTATTGCACAATGTTATTTTTAACCTCTGAATTAAATAAATAATGGCTTACTAAATTGAAACAACAAGAGTAAAATTAGTAACAATAGCAAAAAATTATATAAGTCTTTTTTAGTTATATAATTTTAAAAATGTACTAAAGACTGAAAGCTAGTTTTTTAAGTATCGTATTATTCATAAGCATAAAGTAAACTAAACTATTCTTAAGCATAAACTAAACTAAACTATCTTAAGCATAAACTAAAACATAAACTAAACTAAACTATTCTTAAGCATAAACTAAATTAAAGCATAAACTAAACTAAACTATGCTTAAGCATAAACTAAACTAAAGCATAAAATAAACTAAAGCATAAACTAAACTAAAGCATAAACTAAACTAAATGGCTCAACAGCTGTTTAGTGAGCCATGGCCTGCAGAGCCCTGATATTTGCTTTCTTGACTGCGGGCCCCTGTGTGCATGAGCATGTACCCTGGACAAGTGGTCAGCTTGTCGTAAGACACTCGGTGTTTAGTTCCTGGGCGAACATGATACTCATTTAATCGACCCACTCAAGGAATGAGAGGCTGAGTCAACCTTTCCCAGCCAAAGGATCGAGCCACGGATCTGTGGTGCTGCTGCGCGACGCGTTAGCCACTGCACCCCCGGGTCTAATATTCTTAATTATGACTAAAAATAGATTCGTAGGCTGCTAACAATGATGTAACATAAATTAAAATTATTATCAAACAGAAAATGAAGCTAAATGAATATTTTACTTTTTACACCATTTTACTTTTCAGCCACCATATGACCAAGTAAGAATGCTTTTATACCCCAACATACGCAAATTCGCAGTTACTAAGTTTCTTATTTTATTTTACATATTTATGCTTTTAATAAATTTTCATTTGAAACTATCAGTAATTCTGAGAACTTTGATACACAAAGCATTTTTTCTGCCTATGTGTTATAACGTTGCGCGCCTCCAACTTGCACGCAACCAAGAGGTGACTGTGAAAACTTGTATAAAAGATAGAGCCTTGTGAAGGGTTTAAGTCCCTTTTTATTCAACGTAATAAATTACAATTGCGTTCTCTTGACGCTTACAGACGGTGCCAACTCGGCAGTCAAATAAAAATAATAACCTGAAAAGAAACTAAAGACAAGATTCTAACTACGAGGCTCTCTAAAATAACTAACTCACCGCGTTTTACAATACCGCTGCTAATTCAGCAGACTTGAAGCTCACTGGAACGAATTACCAACTACTTCCCGCCAAGCACATAGGCCGCAACGCGGGGTTCTTCAATTCTCGCTAACTACCTCCGCGCTCGCTAAGTAAGAATATCACACACCGAACTCGTTTCCTTCTATTTAAATCATAATACTTCCGCTGATAATTTGAATGCTTGCGCGTTCTACTCAAATTTACATATTCTGGCATTGGCAGTTCCAGGGGAAAGTAAGGCTTGACAGGAAAGATAGTTTAAACTTAAAATAAATGTTAGTTAAAATAAATATAAACCCTACATTTGCCGCTGCCAGAATTTGGAAAACTTGGAAGCAGGTCCTACAAACGACCTGTTGTAAGTTTCTCTAATTCTGAACTAACTGGCGAGAACCTCGTTTACACAAAAAAAAATCTTATGTAACCATTTGTATACTAAAATTCTGTTGATCGTTACAAAGCTTTCTTCTTACAGCAACTTTTCCTGGACTTCATCAATCAATCTTGGTCTTTCCTTCCAGCATCTGGAAGGAATAAGTATCAGTATCTTTCTACATACATTATAATTTACACTTTCTTGACACAATAAATTTTTGTTTTTAAAACGATTCGTTTTTCTTAGTTATTGCTTACTTCACATTCATTCAATTTTTCAAGCATTAATTTAACTTTACCCTGGCTCTCCACCATGTGTGTGGTGTCAAACGGGAATATTCGTGTTTTAGTCTTACAACACTTCCCCTAACCACCATGATTTGTTAGAATTCAACGACCAAATAGACACACCTTACTCGACATTCTACAACTCAATGAGCTACTTTAATATTCTTAAAAATTCAAATGTAGGTGGAGAACCCTACAAAACACATTCATTCTAACTTCTTCCCCCTCATTCATCTTTAAACATGCAGGCTTTCGCTCTAAAGCATGACTTTACAGTTTAATACTTAAATTTTGACTTCATTGCTTTTAAGCATTCACTTTTAGCATCTACAATTTTATGCTTCTAGACTAAATTCTACTTTTACATAACATTCAAGTATTTACATACATTTACAAATTTTTAATACATATGCTTTTTACAATTTACCATAAAATGAATAAGAGAAAATAAATTTTTACTTTACTCATTCTTCGCCAAGCTGGCGGCACTGAAACTAAAATTCTTATTAGTACAAGAATACGAAGTTATTTTTATCTTCGGCCAAATTTTGGCTTTAACATAACAGAATTAGTCTTTCGACCAACAGAAAATGCTTGTTTTTAGCTTTTACACTTAAAGAAAATAATACTTTTGCCTTAGCTAAATAAAGTAAAACAAAACTAAGTCTCAACCGAGACATATTGACTTTCGTCAAAACATAGAACTTCGTACTTATGCATAACATTTCGGAACAAAAGAGAAAAAAAATTATAGAAGGTTTTAACTTATCTTTGAGTTTTCGATGCTTGAAACTCCGTCATCCGTTTTTGGCAAAATTGATCCCAAGTTAGAGGTTTCATGGATGTCAATCTTCTCCTTATTGATCTCCGAGTGTCGTCCACGTTGCTTTTTCTTTTGCGTCCTCTACATGCTGGCCTCTTGACGGAGTAATCGTCTGGTTGTTGGCCTTTCCGTTTCTTCTGCCTGGGACGGCTGGTCTTGACGTCCTCCGGTCTGGAGTCCTTCTTGAATTTCTTCTGTTCCTCGTATTTTTGTGCCTCCTGCTTGGCGTTTCAGTTTCCGGAACGGCGGCCTTGCTGGCACCTGACTCTGTGGCCGTGTGCGCGTTCTCCTTGATGTGTAATTTCTCCTGCCATCCTTTGTAGGTGGTGTTTTTTTTCTCTTTACCACGGTTTCTTTACCCGGTTCATCTGTATTTTTGTTTTTCTTAAACGCCGGAGTTTGAAAATCATTTTTTTCTTTTTGATACCGACGTCCGGGTTGTAGAAGTGCTAGGTCTCTCTTCAGTTCTCTGTTTCTTGGGTGGTGGAATAGTTGTTGTAGTCTCTGGCCCTTCTATTTCGTTTAGACTTGAGTCCTGCAAGAAACTTTTAAGGATTTCAAAATCATTTGGATTATAGTATTTTTTCACCTGGTCGGGACTTGCTTTACAGATTTCCCCTCTCTCGTTCTTAAGATATAAGACTACTCCTTTGATTTCCTGAATTACATAGGGGCCTTCAAACTTTGGAGCTAGCTTTGCCATAAAATTGTCTGGGGCACTTGATAAAGAAAATTTCCGCTTCAATACTTTATCCCCAACTTTAAAATCTGCTTCACGGCGTTTTCTATCGTAATATAATTTTTCTGCCTATTTCTTGCCGTATCCGAGGTTTTAAGCGCCTGATCAATTAGCTTTTGCACATCCTTTTGTTTAAACTTCCTGCTCTCTTTGTTGCACAAAGAATAATTTATCTAAAGGCGTAATTAACTTTCTGCCTAAAAATAATTCTGCTGGAGTTTTTCCCGTAGTATCATGATGTGCCGTTCTTAAAGCATAAGCTAATTCATTTATGTAGCCATCCCAGCGCTTGTGATGTGTGCTAACGTAACTGCGAATTATTTTTACAATGTTTTTATTAACTCTTTCTGCTATGTTAGCCTGTGGTCTATACGGAACCATTTTGATATGGCGTATATGCCAAGTCCATTGCATATGTTTTCAAATATTTGACTAATGAATTGTTTTCCGTTATCGCTAATGACTTTTATCGGTGCACCGTATTTTAAAATGTATCTGTGTAAGAATGCATCTGCGACTGTTTTGGCTGACGCGCGTTTAAGTGGAACAATTTCTATCCATTTTGAAAAATGATCTACTATTACTAAAAGAAAACGATTTTTATTTAACTCGCTCTGGGGGAAGGGACCAAGGAGATCTATGCCTAAAATTTCATTCGGAAATGTAGCGCGAATGCTATTTAAGTACCCGGCCGGGCTGTAATTAATATCATTTATTAACTGACATTGATTGCAGGACCTGACATACGCCGTTACTATTTTGTATAATTGCGGGAAATATACCGCCTCGCGTACCCTTTTTAAAGTCTTTCTGACCCCGAGGTGGCCCGCTGTTTTTTTTTCGTGCAACTCCTTCAAAATGCTTAATCGAAGCGAGGCTGGGATGACTGGCTTATACTCAAGATTTTCGTTTGTTGTTTTCGTATAGAATAATAAATTATCTATTATTTCATAGTTTTTTGCTCTATTTCTTATCGCATCGATATCTGTATGCTCAAAGCTTTCGGGGTCTTTCAAATAAGCATAGATATTTCCAAATTCAGGATCAGCTTTCAGTTCAGTAATAACCGTATCTCTAGAATCTAAAATTTTTGAAGTCAACACAGCGCATTTAAGTTCATTTCCTTCATCGTCCAGTTTTATACGAGAAAGTGCGTCAGCTACATTGTTTTCCTTACCCGGTTTATATTTTATTGTGATATTATATTCTTGGAGTTTTAAAGCCCATCTTATTAACCTGGGCGTTAGGTTTTTTCCCGAGTAAAGTCTACCAACAGCCGCATGATCCGAAAAGACTGTTACTGGCG